CCAAGAAATCATCATCATCGCCCACCAAGCCAATCCCGCCAATCGACCCCTCGAGCAGCTTCACCCCCGAGTCCTTCGAACGCGAGCTCAAAGCCCTTGCCTCCAAGGCGCAAGCCCAAACCACGTCGGCCTACCTGCGCTCGCAAGCCTCGGCCTACCTTTCGGCCCTCGCCCTCCTCACCCTCGCGGCGCTCTCCTCCAATGCCTCCCAACAAGACCTCTCCCCCGTCTACGGTGCAATCCCTTCAGCGCGCTGGCACACGCAACTCGTAGCAGCAGCTTGTTTCGCAGGGTGGTCATCCAACCTCTTCCTGGGGCGCGCGCTCCCCTTTAAACCGGTCCTGCTGCTCCCCGTAGCGGCGCTTTACATCCCAGCAGCCCAATTCCTCCTGACGCGCTTCGCCGGGGCATTGACAGCGTACTGGGGACCCCTTGTGACGGAGGCTGTGACGTTGTTCCCGCTCGTTGCGCTGACGGCCGCGTGCGTCGCGACGTATCTGGACGGAGCGGACCTGTCGTTCCTCCCGTCTTTTGTGGCGGATGCGGCGCCGGGGATTGGATCGTATGGCTTCTTCAAGGGGGTGGAGACTTGGAGCTGGGGATTGCTGGGGCGGTATGCGGGACGGACGGTGTTGAATACGAGGGTTGGGCTGGAATTGGTGCTGGGGGCGTCGTATGCGTTGCTTGCGCCGTCCAAATTTTTGGTGTTGACGCTGCCGGCATTGTTGCATACGGCCGTGTTGGATACGCGGTTGCCGACGGCTTGGGCTGGCGAGAGGTTGAATCAGACGTTGGGGACGGAGGGGTGGGTTATTTTGGACAGGAGGGAGAGCTTGACGGGCTATGTGTCGGTGGTTGAGTCGGAGAGGGATGGGTTCAGGTTGATGAGGTGCGATCATAGCTTGCTGGGAGGGGAGTGGGTCAAGTTTATTGGGAAGGGGCAGTTCAAGGGGAATCAGGTCGCTGAACCGGTTTATGGCGTGTTTGCCATGCTCGAGGCGGTGAGGTTGGTGGAGATGCCGAAGAAGATTGTTGACAAGGATGCGAAGGCCCTTGTTGTGTGAGTTTGTTTTTACCGCGGAAATGGGAGTGAAGCTGACTGGAATAGTGGGCTTGGTGTTGGGACGACGCCAGGTGCTTTGGTGGCGCATGGTATCGACACTACCGTCGTGGAAATTGACCCCGCCGTTTACGACTTTGCGGCGAAATATTTCCAGCTGCCAAAGAATCACACCGCCGTCATTGAGGATGCGGTCAGCTACACTTCGAGGTTGGCGAATCAGAGGCAGGGGGTGTTTGACTACATCGTCCATGATGTCTTCACTGGCGGCGCAGAGCCTATCCCCTTGTTTACACTGGAGTTCCTGCAGAACCTGAACACCTTGCTCAAGCCCGAGGGTGTCATCGCTATTGTAGGTCACACTGGCTGTTTTTGGAACCATCTACTTACCAAGGGCTAGAACTACGCTGGAGACTTTAGCCTCCCCCCACCCATGGTCGTCGTTCAGACCATCCGCACCGTTTTCCCCACATGTCGCATCTTCAGGGAACATCCTCGGGATGACGAGCTCGTAGCGAAACATGGCAGCGACTTTGCCAACATGGTCATCTTTTGCACGAAACTCGCGGACAGAAAGCTCACTTTCCGCCAGCCGAACAGGAGGGATCTCTTGAACAGTCCTTCGCGGGAGCATTTCCTGATGCCTCAGCATGAGGTGATGGATGCCGACTTCACCGTTGGGAGGGAGGATGGCATCCTGACGAGCAACGACACTGACAAGCTGGTCAAGTGGCATGAGAAGAGCGCGCTAGGGCATTGGTCTGTCATGAGGACGGTGTTGCCCCCGCTGGTTTGGGAGAATTGGTAGCCGTACGTTTGGATTCTCGAGGCATAGGGCAATATTCCGGACGGCTCGAGTCGATTTTTGAATACCTCAAGTCGATTTCCGAAGGGGTCAAGACGGATTTCCCAACGGGTTAGTAGTCTTTCTAATGCCTCAATAATTACTTACAGGGCCTCGGAATATTGTATTCACGCCTTTTGGAAATCGATGCGCCGATTAAGACCAGATGAAATGACATGCACATGTCAGTCACATGTATATATTTTTGGACCCTGTACATATCACTTTGCGCAAGTTTCATATTTTCGATGAGCAAGTTCCGTTATCGATGAGCTCATGGCTCACCGCCCTATGTACTTGCGTTGGACTGCCCAACTAGGTTGGCAAAATGCTACCAGGTGAAGCTTACTATCAAGTGAAGCTGCTTGCATGCCCTCTGCGTCATCCGAGCCGAAATTTCAAACACCAAAAGCATAGGTTCCATCCCTCAAGTTGACGACCAAACGCCGAATCAACACCAGATTGGCATGGATGAGCCCCATCGGATCCACCTCGCCGTTGCCTTGCAGCTCGTGGGTAGCGAGTCTGAAGTCTCGAACCGGCATCTCGAGTCGGTCCAGAATTGCTCTCGCCTGGGGGTGCAGCTCGTCGAGCATCTCGTTGCGGATCTGCGCCAGGGCGTCGTTGATCTGGCCCAGCACGCTGTTGATGCTGTTGATCATGTTCATGTGCACCGTCACGGTGTTGCTGGGGTCGAAGGGGACGGCCTGCTGCTGTTCCTGCTGCTGGCGAGGGGCGGATTGCTGGCCAGGAGGAGGTCCGTTGCTGGAATTGTTGAGCAATAGGACCGGAATATCGTCGTAGGCGAGCGTGCTGGCTTCGGACGGGGGCGGCGGAACATGGAACACGGTGACCTCTTCTTGGAGGTCGAATGAGCCGCCGCGTTGGGTTGAGGCCCCGTCCTGGTTCGGATTGTTGACGGAGGGCTCCTCAGCGCGCTTCATTGCGTCGTTCAGCTTGACCGACGAAGAAGCTTCATGACGGGTTGAAGCTTGCTCTTGCTCTTGCGAGGTTGAAGCTGGCGCGTTGGTGTGCCTGGATGCTTCCTCCTGGCGAGTTGTAGCGCCCTCTGGGCGCAAGACGAGGATCGGCTGCAGCTGGGGGCCTGCGATGCCGGACGCGAGGTTGTCGATGGCGGCGTTGGTGCCATCGCCAAGGGTCGTGGTGTTGGGCTCCTCGACTGAACCATGCTCCGAGGGAGCCCGGGGCTCAGAGTCGGCTTCGGTGTCGCTATCGCTGACGATGATCTCGTGCACCGGGCGGCGGACGAAGCGGGCCAGAGCTTCCTCTATCTCTGACGCGCCGATGTAGAGGCACACTGGCGGTTGGAAGGTCAGAAGCTGGCTCCAGGAACTGACTGGCCTATGTTTATGGATGAAAGAGGAAGAAAGGGAAGAGGGCTGGAAAGCTGGAACGATGGAAGGGGTTTTATATACTTACTTTCCTCGGGAGGAGAAGACATTTTTGCACCTTTTTGGTGTGGTGCTTTCCACCACTGTTGAAGATGAAGCTGGAGAAAGAAAAGAAGAGAGAGGATCGCGGCGTGGAGGGAGACAATATCTCCGAGGTGGACGGCCGGCGCTCACGAGGGTCATATGACTTGTTTCGGCGGAGCACCCGACGAGGGGCCCGGCGAGGGACCTGGCGATCTTTGTTTGTTTCGGCGGAAGACCGGGGAAGCAGCCCGGGCAACCACTCGGCACCCATGCTCTGTCCTGGGGGTAGTTCCAGTGAACGTCATAGTAACGTCCCAGCGGCCATGTGTCATTCTGGTGGCAGTTGTGGTGAAGTTCGGGGATAGGCACGTTGGGACTCTGCAGGCATGACAGTCCTTGAACAAGGAGATCATAGGCGGCGTGGTCGGTGGTGGGCAGAGTAACCGGCATCCACATCTTGATCGGCCGATCGAGTGACAGTGGCTTCTACTGCTATCACCAAGGGACAGCTGGATGGCCGCTTCTCACAAATGTTTCTGAGTGCTTGCTGCTTGCTTTGTTCCATGAAAAGTCACCACATCATGAAAGCCTCACTGCCTCTTTCAACAATTGCTGATGAACAATAATGTACCTTGCTTTTTTAACAGCTCCCCAGGGAATGCTCCTTGTCTAGTTTTGCAAATAATCACTGGGGTCTGAAAACTTGGCTGCTTCTCACAAGTATTGGTAGGTATTTAATGTTTCCTTTAACTACTTAAAACTCACCATGTTGTAAATACCTCACTGCCTCTTCACATATCTGCTGGGAATAACAATAATCACTGGAGTTTGTGAACTTGACTAGCTGTTATCTGACCTGTTTCACTTACAATTACCAGGTGATAGTTGTATGCCTGACTCTCAAAACAACTGCTGGGGAGTAGCCGCTCCCTTGGCCATTTGAACTGCTCCCAGAGAGAAACTACTTGGCTAGTTATTGTACAAGTTATTGAGTTATTGCTTTGTGCTTGGGTCTCCCCCTTTTCTCCCACCGCTCATCGACTTGTGGTTTCCGGCCGTCATCAGACTGGCCAAGAGCTTGCAACTCGCCCCTTTGGTGCTACCAACAATCGTCCCGATATCGTGGGGGTTTGTCAGTCGAGGGCCTCATTTCGTACTTGATTATTGCCGGCATATATTCGCCCTCTGCTCAGGGGCTTGAGCGGTTCTCTACACTCAAGTTTTCATCGTCCGCATTGCAGCGCCGATGTGCCGTTAATATTCATAGCCGGCCCGTAGATTGTGTAAGCATCAAGAAAATGTGCCCAAGAAAAAACATATCGTTTTCTTGGGCTCTTTGTTCTAGCAGACTGGGGAAAAAAAAAACAGCCCCTGAATCACTTAGACCCAAGATTCAGGGGTTCCAGCAGACAGGCCTTTCAACAACTAAACCTGAACAGACAAGGCGGACAAACTGCTTCAACACCCTGAGAATTCCCTTGATACCGAAATGCCTTTATAATTCTCAGAAAGCCAAGTTACCGCCCTTCATCCCGGTTTCTGGCCCCTGGCTCGCATCCCTTGACTCATGTCCCATGTCCACGCCCCACTGAACCCTACAACCACACTACATAATCCCCTCCACCAGACATCCACAACGTCAAAACAACCAGGCAACAAAGCCCGGCTAGCTCAATCGGTAGAGCGTGAGACTCTTATGAGGGTTTCAGGTCTCTGAAACATCCCTCTTGGGATCATCTCAAGGTTGTGGGTTCGACCCCCACGTCGGGCTCAATTCCCGGCGATTGCCATTATTTTTGTCCCTTTTTATTCCCATCATCGTCGTGTATTTATTTACGTATTTACCCTAAAAGCAATGCTCACTGTACATATATCTATAACCACCACAAGTTATGTATCCCACACTCCTCCTAACAATAACTCACTTCACCGCTCATAGCCCGTCCTCATCCGGATCGGATGGGCCTCGGTGTTGTAGACATACTGGTTGGTATGGTCTGCTTGGACTTGCCATGGGGCGTCCTGCAAATATGTCAGCTGAGGCCAGCCATCCTCTGGGGTATGGCCAAGGCACTCACCTCGGCATGGATCAGGTAGCTATACTTGAGCACCTCGGCAAACCAGAAACTCTCCTGGAAATCCGTGTGCCGTCCACCAAACGGCCGATTGACGTTCTCGATACTCGAATACCCGCTTCCGGCCCGACACGTCTCGTTGATAGCGAGGAACGCGTCCCATGCCCATTCCTGTCCGCAATCAGCAACAACACACTGACTAGTCGTCGGAGAAGCAACAAACCTGGTACTTGGGATCGCCTGTCGCTCGATAAGCATAATAATAACTCTCAATCACCTCTGGTCTGAGAACATAATACGCGCTCTCGAACCAGAACCCCGAAGCCTTGAAGAAGGCGGTCTGGTTCGCGGGCGGCGGGGGGTTATTACTTGCGTCCTCGGGGAGCACACTATCCTGCCACCTGAAGATCTCGGGGCCGATATTCGTCGCGGTGGAAATGTAGGTATTCCTGCACGAATCGACTAAGTCGAGGCCGAAATTAATGTACTCGGTCTCGTCGAGAGTCAAGCCGCCGAGGATGAAATTGCCGCCGTTGAAACACGCCACTTCTCATGTTAGCACCGACCCTCCAAAAAAAGGAGAAAAAAAGAGAGGAGAGAGACTCACAATGCTGCCCAACAAATTCCAATTCCTTCCCATTCCACATCGCCACATACAACAGATCCTCCCGACCCTTTGGTCTTGAAATCAAATATTTCATCGACGAATCCACCGCCGCCGTCCACCGATCCCTCAGGGGCGCAAACTTGACGGGATCATACAGATACATCTTGATTAGATACTCGTAAAACGAGTCGTCGCCACCGCCCCAGCCGCCATTCCCATTCACAAACTTGCCCGTACGAATGTCCACATCAGTCCCCAGCAAACCAGGAAACGGCTCCCCAACGTCCCTGGGCTCAGGCTTGAGGAGGTACGCCTCGGCCTTGCGCGCCAATTTACCGTATTCTTCAATCCCAGTGATATCCGAAAGCCGCTGCCACTCGAGAATCAGCGTGCCAATGGTCGCAATACCGTTCGTCTGGCTGCCCGCCTTGCGGGGCGGGCCGAAAAAGAGGCTGTTATCCGGCACACCACTGGGCGTGTCGAACGCCACCTTGAGATTATCGGCCAGCCGGACGGCCTGCTTGATGATGGCGCTGATATCGTCGCGGTGGTACTCCTTTGCGGTAGTGTTGGCGCTGAGCAGGTCGACGGCTGACAACAAGCCGCCGAGGTACCGGATTGTTGTCTCGAACAGGGAGACTTCGTCGGTGGTGGTGTCAAAGTCAATGGTGGGGATGTACTTGACGATTTGCTCGACCACGGGATAGTTGCGCATGACGATGGCGGTCGATAGCGCGTCGACGGCGGAGGCGCCCCATCCGTTGCGGTCGTCCGAATAGCGGTTTGTCAGCGGGCGGAGGGAGTCGTGCGGGAACGCGTATTTGTAGTAGCCGTCCCACGAGATGTCAAAGGCTTGTTTGACGGCGTTGGCGCGGGCCGCATTGGGTGTGTAGCGTGGTGGATGGGCGTAACGGGGATGGTTGTCGCGGGGGAGGTGGTCACGGCGGTAGGGTTCTTTGGGGCTGACGAGGGCGGCAGAAGATAGAGTCAGGAGGGTTGCCATGGCGGCAACGGGGCCGCTGAGGAGGTGCATGATGGCGTTTTCGGCTTAGCTTCAACACGGAGAATAAAGTGTGGCTTGCGGAAGCCGGGAAAAAGGGGGTAGGGGATGCAGACGATTAGACGGTAGGGAACGCCACATCGACGGGTGGGGGAGGAAACGGGCAGAAGAGACATATATAGTCTGGTCCGGTCGGGGTGAGGGTCTCGGAGCCCCCGTGGAAGGTGATGGGGCGTAAATAGGGGGTGCTGTTCTGACATCGACATTGGCATGTCATTGCAGCTCCCGGCCAACAATGGTAGGACGGGTGACCTGCGTCGGTGCCTCTTGTCTGTGTCGTGCGGATGCGGCACCATGATGGTCCGTGGCCACGAGCGAGGAGGAGTGACAGTTGTGTCTCCATTGTAAACCACGTCCGGTCCTTGTACCGTCCGTGTCTGTCTGTCTGGATCAGGGGAACACTTGAGGTGAAGTCGTGAATGGCCATTGGTCCCCGGCCTAAGACCTGCCGGATGAAGCAGGTTGACGAACACGTTAGGAGAATTTCGAACGGGAAGGCTAACCAGAAGCGCGGCCACTACCTTAGGTAGCCAGCACTGCCGGCATGCCGCCTTGGGACCTACAGTAGTGTCGCTGTCGTCCATCGGTCGACAGTCGAACAACACGGGAAAGGCGGAAATAAGGCACGACTCTGGGCGTGGACACAGATGTCGCTTTGAATGCTGGTGAGACTGCAGTACGGGCTTAGATCTCTGTGGAACCTTGAGTGAATGGGGTAAATACAGTCTGCGTTTTCCTAACCCGGTATTGGTAGCAACAGAAGCCGGGAGATCGAGGCACGCGGCCTGCAAGCCCCCCGAGCCGGACCGCCAGCCAATATGCGCCTCGTGCCGTCATGTGGACCAAGTGCCGAAAACTGACAAGCAGCCCACCAACTTCCGCAATGAGAAGGCCGACAAGTGGAAGTTGGTTGCAACCATCACCAACCCCACCCGACAAGGCGCCGCCACACAACGTGTGTGCAACTGGCCACCACAGGAACCACGCCTGGCTACAGCATTTTCATTGACCTCTGCCACGAGACGACGCACGGCTGCTGTAGCTGGAAACCGACAAGTCGTGCGTTCTGCAGAACCTTTTCTGTCCACATCCCATTTTCGGAAGCTTGCCGGCGGAAAGTTACGAAATGTTGCACCGCACGTCTTTCCGATCCCGTGAACGCTTGGCGGGTAGTTAGACTGCCGGGATCAGCTTCGGGGCCATATTTTTAGCTGCCCATCCTCATGGTTTCCCCAGCTGCACCACGCCGCCGGGAGACACCGAGCCATATAAACAATGGGGAAGGCGTATGCTGTGTGCAAAACGACCTTCTTCCCCATGTCGTAAATGCCATGTATGTCTCATGCCCTTCGGTTTCCACCCAAGGGCTCAAGACGCACCGCATCCTTCGGCCGTCAGGTCCTGCGGTCAATATCCCCTCTCGTCACGGCCTGTCTGTGAAGAACGCCATGCGGAGGAGAAACCTGCATCCAAATGCAACCGCCCCATCAACCCTTCTCCCGCAGCCGCGCCAAAGCCGCAGCAATCCCCTCACTCAGCTCCCCGTCCTTTGACGTCCCGGGCTCACGTTGTCTCGCCGGCGCCCGTCGACCAGACGAACTCCCAGCCTCCACCGGATCTACTATTGTCTGCTGTGTATCGCCCTCAACAGCAGCCACCAAAGCCATCAAATCTTCGTCATCCTCCAAAGCACCGTCATTCCCTCCAGCACCACTCTCCCCAGCACCACCACCCATCTCCCGCCTCGGAACCCCCCCAATCGGCACCCCCACCCCCTTAACCCCCCTCTTCCCAGCCTTCTTAACCCTAAAAGGCTCCTGCACAACCCTACACCAAGCCTTCACCTTCTTCTGCCCCCACCCGCCCACAATCGCAACCTGCTCCGGGTCCGCATTAACCGCGTGCCTCAAAGATCCAAACGTACTGACCAAAGCAACCGCGTCCGCCTTATTGATCGCCCTCGGCACCGTCACAAACTCAACCAGCCGTTCCGCGTAACTACTTGCCTGCTGGCCGCGGATGGCATCCGGTTTGGCGTGTTCATATGATTTATACAGCTCCAGATAGCGGGCTGCCTCGTTGGCGGACCAGCACAGGATGACTGTGACATTGTTGATGAGGGACGTTTTGGCTAGTTCGCGGAGGGAGTCCTCGTGGTTGGGGATGTCGACCATGGTGAGTAAAATGCGGAGCGTGTATTTGCCCTGGAGGTTGCGGATGCGGGTGTAGATGTATTCGGGGTGGAGGCGGTGGTATTTTAGACTGAAGCTGTTAGTTATTGATAACTGGAAAAAAAAAAAGGGAAAGAAAAAAGGGAGGGAGAGAGAGAGAAGAGAGAGAGAGAGAGAGAGAGAGAGAGAGAGAGAGAGAGAGAGAGAGAGAGAGAGAGAGAGAGAGAGAGAGATGTACCTGAGGAATAGAGCACAGGTTGTTTGGCCCAGGCCGTAGTCGGCTGGTATGTCGCTGTATTCCCACGGCATGCTCTTGATGCACGCCAGCACCGGGTTTCCCTTTTGTCGCGGCGATACGAGGATCGATGACCCGGATGATCGCGATGGTAAGGCCTGTGGTGTGGGTTGCACAATCCTCTGACCCGCAGCCGCTCCGGAGGGTGGCTCTCGATCGAGACGCTGGGGCGTGGGTTGTTGGATTCGCTGTGGTGTTGGCTGTTGCTGCGGCGGACGTGCAGCGGGCCGTGAAGGCCCTGCGTCTGTAGCGGCTAGAGCAGCCAGGAAGTCGTCGTCGACATCGAATTCGTCGTCCATGGCAAATCCGGGCTTGTTTGTGCGTGACGTTCTGAGGATGGAACCTTGAGAGCTGCGGTTGACAAGGCTGTTCGTCGCTTGACTCGCGCCAAGAACCGAAATCTGGGGTTGCAGGGTAGCGTCGGCTCCGGGCCCGGCCGATTGGCGGCCGCATGATCACCGAGGGGCTGACTTTTCACCATGTAAAAAGCGTCAACACATCAAAGAGTTTGTCATGGGACTAGCTAATAGCTAATAGCCGGTGATAAATATGTTCATAGAAGT